TGATTCCGTAGTACTAAGATATCATTTAGTTGACTGCAGGCAGAATCATGTTCGGGTGGCTCGCTCGGTTGGGTGGCTCGCTCGGTTGTGGATTACGTTACGGAGAATGGATTAGTCATCCTGGCACCTAATTGGCGGGCTTGACTGCCTGAGGCCTTCAGGGCAGTGGATCGGCCCGCCGCCAAAAGGAAGAAAGAATAATAAAACCGCTCAGATTGGATGATGGATCGCGACCAGTCTAGACGCCAGGAGGCTTTTTTCCTCGGCAATTATTTGCTGCAGTCGATCCACTGCAATCCCTCCTTCCAAGGCACAGTTCAGTGTGAAATCCACAGCTGCCCCGATCTGGCCTTCCTTGTCCTATCGTCCTCGGTAAGCGACCAGCTCATCTCCATCCTTCATTACTCAGATGGCGGTAGAATCCGTGACTCCGAAAGTATGGTTTAGACTGCCGTTTTTCTAACGGCTATCCAATGTCTGGTTGTCTGATTATTCTGGACTCGGTTATCGGATTCTTTGCCTCATTAGTTATTCTTTGTTCCAGACTCCGCTCTTTCGAACAGTCTGCAGAGATCCGTTGCGGCAGAGTAATCACTAATCCCGATTGGGACATCCATCTCCAACATCTTCTCAATCTCCTCTTTTCCCTCTTCTCCTTTTCTCCCTCATCTCTTCTCCGCTATTCCCCTCTCCAGAATCAAAACAATGAGCTGAGCCGACCTCCTCTGGACGACCAGCCAGAGTTGTCTCCGGATGCGCATCCCAATTGCCGTGCAGCTCGGCCTGCTGGTCCTTGTGACCGCCCTAGTGGGCCTGGCCGTGCTGTCCATCGCTACGGTGAGCTCGCTGATCGCCGATCATCCTTCAGCTCCAAGACTAATCGACGCAGTGGGTTAATAACTACAATTTTGTGGTCGATGTCCAGTAAGATAGTCCTCTTGGCTTGATTGTACGTTTCCCACTAACATAACCCTCCAGATCCGAAGGACTCGAGCTGGTCGCAAAAATCAAAGCCAGCCAGATCGCTTCCAATCTCAAACTTCTAGAGTCGACGAGCAAAACCATCGTCACACGACTGCTGATCCAGGGCGCTCTGGGTCGTTTTTACAATGGAAACTCGAGTGATTCGAACTGGACCTCGTCCGTGACGGATGTCCAGTCGGCAATGGGCAGTAACAATTATCTGGACCTCTATCAAGCCATCATTTTCTCTCGGAATGGTCAAGGAAATCCACACGGATTGCTCAATGTTACCGCCAAAGATATTGCCGAGATCACTCTTCCCTACACCTACTCGAACGGCACTGCTGTCATGCTAGGGGATGAGGGACTCGGTTACCCTCCTGCGCTCTACCCTAATCTGACATATTCCGCAGCCTCCGACGGCAGCACCACAACCGATGTGTACGCCTTTTCAGACTACAAGCTTGGACTTGACACCGCTCTACTTCTTGGACCGCTGCCGATTAACACCTCCTTTTCCCTCATTTCAGTCACAGTGCCCATCATCAATAATACTTCGGCCACTGACATTCTTGGATACATGACGTAGGCAATCCTGGAACATAGACAAAGAGTAAACCAGATTCACCGCTGACCGATTACAGGGTCGTCGCCAGTGCCGCCAATTTGCAGGCTACGATCAACTCCCGCGACGGCATGGGCAATACTGCTCAGATTCTCCTGCTCGGCCCCTCGCGGGCCGACAATCGGTTCGCCCCCGACGCCTACCCGGCTACAGCGACCTCTGCCCCGGATGTGGAAGGACTCTCTCACGCCGAGGTCCACTACGTGTTCGAGCCTACGCCACTTCCCGGTCAGAGCAGCAGGCACGGCGGCAACATGAGCATGAACAGCTTTGCCCTGTCCGAGTATCCGCTGGCATGGAAGCTCATGTCGAGACCGTGGGCACAGACCAACGACTCGATCAGCGATTTGTCAACTCGAAACGAACACGGATACCAGGTTGCGGTCGGCGCGATCCGGCCGAAGACGCACATGGCACAGTGGATTCTGCTGGTGGAGGAGACTAAGGCGGAGGCATTTGCCCCGATCAACAAGCTCAGGAAAATCATTCTGGCATGCGTCTTTGGGACGATAGGGCTCATTATCTTGATCGTTCCGCCACTCACCCATCTGGCCGTGGCCCCGATTCGCCGACTGAGCGCAGCCACTCGCAAGTCGATCGAGCCCCCCTCCCAGCCGCCGCATAATCGCCCTCCCTCGAGTGGACCGTACATTGTAGGAACACCCGAGGCGGAGACAGAACCCCGGTCTTTTGACGACCACATGGACGAGAAGGGAAGTTTCGTAGCCTGGGTGAAGCATTTCCGTCGAAAGGACCGGCCCAACAGCGCATACAGCAATGGCAGTCGCAACCACGCCAGAACTTTCCAGATTCCGGGCAGAGTGAAGGAACGCAAGCATCTCATCACGGACGAACTGACGGAGCTGACGAGCACTTTCAACGAGATGGCCGACGAGCTTTCTATCCAGTACAATCGGCTGGAAGAACGAGTGGCGGAACGAACTCGGGAGTTGGAAGCCGCCAAGTCGGCCGCGGAGACTGCCAACGAGAGTAAAACATTGTTCATCGCCAATATCTCACACGAGCTCAAGACCCCGCTGAATGGGATTCTGGGCATGTGTGCAGTGTGCATGGGCGAAGACGATCTTCCTCGGATCAAGAAGTCCTTGCAGGTCGTTTACAAGTCGGGCGATCTTCTCTTGCATCTTTTGAACGACTTGTTGACCTTTAGCAAGAACCAAATTGACCAGGCAATTCGTTTAGAAGAGAGGGAATTTCGATTGTCGGACGTCCGGTCTCAACTTGCGGTCATTTTCCAGAATCAGGTCCAGGAAAAACAGATCGACTTCAATGTCAACTTCGTCAGCAGTGATACCCTCCCACCAAAGACCGATGCCTCCCAGGAGAAAACACTCCTAGCGTCTGCCCCCGCGCTTGGTCCACCAGGGACTGGTCGGTTGAGGGACATGGTATTATGGGGTGATCAACATCGTATCCTCCAAATCCTGATCAACCTGGTCAGCAACAGTCTCAAGTTCACGCCCGAAAATGGCAAGGTCGAGGTTCGCATCAAATGCGTCCGCGAAGTGGAAACCCCGGGCAGTCCCCGAAGCTCTTTGCAGGACTCTCGACGCAATTCACGACTGCGATCCCGACCACCCTCGCATGCCAGTTCTCAGCCCCGTGACGCCGTGGACGGTCTGGTTCAGGAAGAATATCACACGCCCGTGCTTTCGCAGTTGCGGACTCTGATCTTCCAGTTTGAGGTCGAGGATAATGGACCTGGCGTCGCCCCCCATTTACAGAAGCGCGTCTTCGAGCCCTTTGTACAGGGCGATCTCGGGCTCAACCGAAAGTATGGAGGCACCGGATTGGGGCTCAGTATCTGCGCGCAGCTGTCTCGCTTGATGAATGGATCGATCACCCTGGAAAGCGAGCCAGGCAAAGGCGCCTTGTTTACTGTGGAAATTCCGTTAAAATTCGTCAAGGAGGCAGCGCCCAGTACCCGCAGTTCCAGTGTCTCCGGATCCCGCACACCGAGCGTTTTCTCGCTTGACGATCTCTCCGGTCTCGCGCGACCGCCGTCACACAACGACTCTGTTCGAAGCGATCCGTTGACCAGCAATTTTGAGAAGCAGGATCTGCAACCTCGACTGGTCGGACTCAGTCAGCCGTTCTTCACCCCCACACCGTCATCCCCCGCACCGTCGACTCCCAGAGTTCCTCCGGCGGATGGGCCCAAACCGGAAGTGAAAGATAGCACATCTGGCAAAGTGCGCGTATTGGTGGCCGAGGATAACGTAGTGAACCAGGAAGTGGTCCTTCGGTACGTTCTTCTTGATGTTTTTATAAACCATGCTAACACCATCCAGAATGCTTCGGTTAGAAGAGGTTTATGATGTAACGGTCGTCAAGGACGGCCAAGAAGCCTACGACACAGTCAAGGCGAATATGGAAGAGGGCAAAGTATTTGACCTTATCTTCATGGACATTCAGGTATATATTCAAACATCATTATACGGAAGAGAAAGCTGACAAAGGCAGATGCCCAATCTCGACGGCCTACAGAGCACCCGTCTCATCCGTGGCATGGGCTACTCGGCGCCTATTGTTGCGCTCAGCGCTTTCTCGGAAGAAAGTAACATTAAAGACTGCATGGACTCGGGCATGGACATGTTCATCAGGTATGTGTACCGCACCTGGACGAGAAAACTATGCTAATGGAGGTAGTAAACCGATCCGACGGCCTGCCCTGAAACAAGTTTTGAACAAGTTCGCCACGATTCCGGAAGAGCCGGAGAATGTGCCAGATTTATAGCCTTGGCAGAAAGCCAGTAGCAGGCTCCTAGGAACCTTTCAGGCGTACAATGGTAGCCGGTTGTATATATTTCAGATATGTGGGAGTCCATCTATCTTCGACGTGGCTGGTCGAATTGAAGCAATTAACAATGATAATCTGTAGTATACTGCGAAGGCCTCTCACAATACTCTCTGTCATGTGGCTCTTGCATCAAATTGGGTCTTGTAGAACAGACAAAAAGCCGGTAAATCATCAAGGAATGACACTTTGCTTGACACCCCGTTGTCTAGTTCTCAGTTTTGAGATCTGGTGCTGGACCTACGCGACAAGACTATTCATAAAGACTCTCCTGAAACTATTGAAGCTCCAGCGAGTTTCAAATATATAATGACATCGTTGTTTCTTAACAGCGACATCTTTGATTGTTCTGTAAATCTTCTACAAGGCATCTTTGTGATATGGTCTTACTACGACAAAGGATGTCTCAAATCATCCATACACAAAGCCATTGTCTATTGCGGTGTTCAACAGATACTGTCTTGGAAGATGTCTTTGTCTATAATATAAATACCTCCGCTGTCTGTCTGAACAGGGAAGCAACTCATCAACTACCTCCTTTTCTTATCACTACCTACTCAATTAACTTCTCCAACAGCATCTGCCACTATCAAAATGAATAACTTCTCCCACAACACACCTAACTACAACCCCGACAACCTACCTACCCTCAACAACGGTATGGACCACAGCTTCTACGCCAACATGGACAACAACATGATTAACACACAATCTAGGAATGAATTACCTGACCGCAAACAACCCCCTCGACCAGCCCCTCTACACCACCTTCAGCTACTGCATGGTCTTCTCCAACCTCCCCGACCAGCCCTGGCCATCATACAACCTCCTCCAGCAATGCCTCGACAAGGTCCGCGCGCGCGACGCAAAAGTCTATTCCTCCGTCGACGCGATTCAGCGCTACAACGGCGCCAAAACGGGGGACCTCATCCTCTCGTTTACGGCTGCTGCGGCGATGGATGGGGTCATCTGGACGAGTGCTGAGGGAGTCATTCTCCATCAGATGAGGTATTGGGATCGGGATCGGAGGATGGCCGGGTGGACGCTTGTGGCGGAGCATGGGCTTGCGCAGTGAGTTTTGCGTTTTGCGGTTTTCGATTTTCTTTTTGACCTTTGAATTCTGGGTTTGGTTTGATTGGTCCTTGGTTTTGGATCTGCCGGTGAGGATTGGTTGCTGAGAGTGCTTATTTCTACAGGAAAGGGAGGAGAAAGCTGCCTGGGAAGGGATCTGACTGTGTGTCCGAATGTGAGTTGAACTATTGAATTTGTCCGCTGAATAAAGTGCTCATAAAATTCTACAGGATACTGGACAACTTCGTGCGATCCGAGTATAAGAAAATTGATTTCCCCTCAGTCTGTCTTGTAAGTGTCACCTCACCCAGGAGCTATAGAATGGTCGTTGAGAAACAGCAGACGTCGAGAACCCAAAACACTTGGAGTCTGAGGACTTCAACATATACCACATGATCCTTGAAATATGGCTAGAGCGAGTAAGATCCTCGAAGTCGAGAGGGACATAGAAGGTACTAATCTTTACACTCGCATATCTTTAGATACGCCGCCACTTCTTCTGCTTCAAATGTTGGAATTCTGTCAGCAGACAACTTTCCTAATGATCAAATCACTGGAAAGTGCGGAAAGAATGACTCTGCAGCTTCAAGCTTCAATAAAGATTCTGCATCTCATGCGGAATAAACAGGGGAATGTACTACCCTTACGAGAACACCATCATGGTTGATCAGATAACCTACTATTACTGCCACCGATGCGAAAAACTGCAAAGCCGTGTTCGTATATATTGTATGGCGGTCTTAAACTATGCTGTTGCAGGCTTTCGGCTTGCGAAGGCCGTGTAGATGAGATTATGATCTTTCAATGAACGGACACTGGGGAGCTATAACACGCTAGTGGTTAATCTGCATGGCATATTCCACGTTGTATAAAACTTGAACGAACCGGAAAGGTGTCAGAGATCATATTGGCACTTCTACATACACTACTAAAACCACGTCGTCAGACAGTTGGCAGACGTTGTGGGAGCCAACCTTCAGAACATACAGTTTCCACTTCTGTAGCTAAAGAAGAAATGCTGATCAACCAATCAGCTCGCATAGCTCAGTTGGTAGAGCGCATGACTAGTAATCATGAGGTCAGCGGTTCAAATCCGCTTGTGAGCATTTCTTTTTTCCCCTTTGCACTTGGCAGAAGTGCACTACTAATTGAGTTCTAAGAAGCTTATATAGCTAGTAAGTATAGAAAATATTACTATCTTTAAGGTCCTTTAACTTTACTAATTCTTTATATAGCTAAAGTAGTGCATCTAGTAGAATATCTAAAAAATATTAGAGACAGTTTATTAGAGCATAATTATCCTCTGTTTGTCTTGAAACGGCCAGCACGTCCACCAAATTTTTCTATCTTTTCTTTCAAGCATTCTCCTGGGTTGCTTCGCTCTTCAATTGCATCTCTTTACTAGAGCAAGAGTCGGTGCTTTTGTACCTTCTAGTGAGCACAAACACAAAAGAGGTCTTCGATACAAAGTAAGAATCCTTAACTAGAGCGATCTAAATTCATTCTCATCTCTAGTCCAGCATATTGATCCAGTTCTGCTTCCGTCATCTAATGCTCCTTGGGCAGTGGGATGGAGACTCAATCAGGTGCAGATCAAGAATAATCGATGCCCGCAATACACCGTGTGAGTTGGAAAAAGCCTAGTAACACGCTTATTAGGAGCCAGTGATTTTACTAACGAGTGCTTCTAGATTCGGGATTGGTATCCGCGATAGCAACAGGCCACAGTTTGCGTCGGGCTATTACTTCTCGCCCTTTCCCTACAACAGGGAGCTCTTTTTGGTATTAAAACAGTGAAAGATCTTACGGAATTTGTCCTTTCGAATGGTGAACTCCCTTTGCGGTGGAAGAGTGAGTTCTTAGAAAAGCCGGTCCTTAGACATGCGACGGGAGATGGGCCGCAAGAAGCTCCTCTGACGAAGCAACAATTTGGTCCTGCCTACGCCAAAATTTTTACCGCTGCAGGTTATTTTGGTGAACTGGCAACTGTTCATTGCATGCCACGAAACTTAAGGGAAAAAGTGGAAAGTTAGTTCCTGCCACCCTGAGAAACTCCGGAACGAAATCAAGATACTAAAATCTAATATAGGAAGGCATAGCTCGGCGCCTATCTCTCAGAGAATGGTACATCGGGGATTAGAAAGTTTTCCGGGGCATTATCAAGCCCACTGCTCCTCCATTGATACAGTGCCAGCAGTTCTCGACGAGGAGGACTAGTCAGATCATATTGAGTACTTCTAAAGTTACGTCCAATTTTACGAGCGAGGTTTACCTAGCGAATTGCCAGCAGAGATCAAGGAAAGTATTTTGCAAAACCAAGATATAATGGGAATGAGAGCTCGGATAGAGCTCTTCGAACAGAGCCATGCTGAGGAAGCTCTCAAGATCGAGAAGTTGGAGTACAGGAAAGCGCTGGTTCGGAAGCGCCTGCTTGAGCTTAAAAAATATCAAAATCGGTGGGTTCGAGAGAAGAGAGATCAAAAAATTCTCGATCGGGGGAAGGAAGAGCTGGAGACCTGGGGAAACGACAATCACAAACGTGCTCAAAAGTTGGTCGCACCAGAGGTTACCCGGATTGCGTCAGCCATGTCTTGCAACAAGGAGCTTTCTCTTGATGGAAACCTTCTATTCGTTCAAGACTTGCAAACTCACTGTGGTCGTGACTTTGCCGTAGTCTACCTCGCAACGAAAGTCCGATTCAAGGGATTTGTCCCGCGAAGGGTTGCCAAACCAACGTTGCAGGGTGAGCTTGAACCCATTGGACCATGATAGCTGTCAGCGTTTCTGCTACCTTCTTCCTGGTCCAGGCGTATTACTCCACCTCGCACACGCAGACAGTCGATAATGTGGGGTGCACGATGGTGGTTTTCGGGCCTACCATGTTGTTCTGTGCGTTAGGATCGCCAATTGACACTATATTCGCGCTAGCATTTATGGCAGGGCTTTTCTTGCCATCTGCAGCGGGATTTTGGCGTGTGATCAAGGTGATAAGGTGAATGTGGGCTAGGGATGATTCACGAAGTGTAAATACCTCTCTGATCTTACTTTATACCCAGTTATCGCGCGGTATACAATTAATATGCCCTTAGCGACGAACGGGCAATTTATTTCACAGCACTCTGAGCGTAAGATAACCGCGTCTTGCAGGCAGTTTCAGGTAAGATACAACATTCAACCTGGAAATATCTTATCATTGTCATGTAACATACCACGCCTCTTCTGGGAAGCGGAGGATCTACGGTTATGTTACACAGTAATTAGGTTAGCATGTTTCACGTTAGGCCCAAATAAATCCGTGCGAGGGATCTTGGTATATCAAATTTCGAATATCGCTGTACTTAAGGTAAACAAAGCTAGATTAGGGTTACATGAAGTGGCCATGTCGGACACGGAGATGCTCTCTCCCATCCTAATCACCTGATCCGCTACAGTATCCCTCCGTAATATCAAAATCGAGTATCATTCTCAACCGAGTTATGCGCGTCCAATATCGGGTACTAATGGTGTTGGAGCACTATCCTCACAAGGATCACGTGCCCTTGGGTACCACCACGCTGATAGGGGCTGCGCTCTGATTCCGTACACCAACCGCACTCAACACTTCATAATAGATTCGGTTCTTTGCACATTGTCCTTTATTGATGGGCGAGTGTTCTAATCAGGTCCTCAGTGTTGTGAATAGAGGCTGTGATATAGTTATACCCCTTTGACAGCCACACCCTCCGATTTGATCGCAATGGATGTTTCTCAACTTCCGGACATCACCAGCCTGCTTGTCAGGCCAGATAACCCTCCACGAGATTATGGCGAAGGGATGGATTCCCCACGATGTGCAGCTCTATACAACTACCTGGTCCAATATGCCTGGCTCGCTGAAGGCCGTCCACTGGCAACTCTGAATGGCAACAGTACCAACTTTTTCACGGCCTTCGGTGCTGAAGCTGAGGCTCTTCGTCCGAGGCTTGATCCATCACTGGTGGCTTTCCTTGACACCGCTATGATACCTCCTAGTGATAGTCCTGGCGAGTTGCCCCCGCCGCTCTCGATTTTCGCATGGGGACTCTCTACGCCGAACAGAATTATTGAGGAATTTGTAGCTGATCTTCAAGACCAGCCGGTTGACAGCCTGGTGCGCTTGTGCTCTGTCGACACGGGCTTATCGGCTGAGGGCAGTGGTGGCGGGGTTATCTACCACCAACGCCTCCATCGCGTCGCGATCTTCATGCATCTTGATGCCTATGACTACGGGTTTCCAGTTGAGGATCATCCAGACGTTTGGAACCCACTAGAGACACTGCTCTCCAACTGGATCGACCTTATTCATCTTGGAAAAGTTGTGGCTTCGCCTCATAATGATCCAGTCCTATTCGACTTCGAGAAGATCGGGCCCTGGGAGTGGCGTCCCTATAGCGAAACCCAGGTTACTACGTGTGTCAGCGCGTGGGATCGGCTGTGTCAGGCCATCGAGGCGCGCATCTCGCAGCTGCCAAATCCCCCATCACTGATCAGCCCCATTTGTGGGACTGACGCGGACAATCCAGAGCCACTGGTCGCATCAACCGTCCTGGACGCCGCTTCGGTGCCTGATCCTTCCTTTGCGCGTTCGTTTCTGACACGCGCGAGACGGCCCTGGTTCCACTACATCGCTCCAGGCCTTCTCCTGCCGCCAGCTGACTCGTCTGGGTTTGTGGCAGCACAGCCATTCACCGTATTGCCCCACTCTCAGCACACTGTACCGCCAGTGTGCCTTTTCCCCGCCGACAGCGGAGACCAGCGTCCTGTCCAGCTCACGAGAACATCAAGTCCATTTTTATTGGCGGACTTCTATTCAACCTCCACCGATACGCACACACCGTCTCACGTCTCTGCAGGCCTGTATACTGCGGCAGTGGAGAGAAACGGTCTTGACACGGCCGAGGAGGGATTCCGGCTGTTGCTCCCGTTCACCTTCAATGATGGTTGGGGCAGGAGCGTAGGCGCACGAAGAAGCGATGGGGAGCTTGTTGATAGGGGAAGCGTTTCAGACCTCTTTCAGCATGGATTCAAGCCTTTTGGTGGTGACTACTACCGCCCTCAGCGGCTGGAGCGTTTGTTGGATTGTTGGCGTAAGCTGGTTGAAGAAGGCGTCTGGTCTGTTGGGCCCGAAGGAGTAGAAGGTACTATCGATACCTTCAGAGATGCTGAGTCGGACCGTTGGAGAGATTATTATATCCCTCCCACATGGTAGATATCCCAGTGCCATCCCGCCTTCAAGCCGGAGATGATTTCTGTGCTCTATCCTGCGGGGATGGAGGTGCCAGGTAGTCACCCGGCAAGACTTGGACCCAACTTACTCCCGAAGACTTCCTGAGAGGGATATGCAATTTCATAAGAAACCAGTCACGAAGATACGCTATCGAACAACTACCATTTTCCGATTTATATACAAAATTAGTCTCAATGCTTCAGTTTTCTTTCATTTCTTTTCAACCAAGCTAAGAGCCCGTCATATATCTTTATACACCCCCAAAGCTCTCGTCTTTCCTTGCCTGAACTTTGGATTTGATCTGGATATGGGTTAAAGACAACAATACTTGACTGTGTTCCTTCGGACTCGAGAGACGGAACGTAGAGCGAATCTTCAGGGCGCATCAGCTGGGTTTGTGCACTTGAATTGCTAATTGGCCGCAGCTGAAAAGTGCCGTCAAGATGGAGGGCATCAAGCAATCTACAAGAAAGAAAGCTCCATTGACATGTTTAATGCTGTCAATGACGGTACGCAAACGGCGCGGGTGTCACAACGCTTCCTGATCTCGTCTGGGGTCCAGTCGTACTCGCAGGGAACGTGGGTCGGGGCTCGCTGCCCGCCGGAACACCCGTCGTGACAGTGACGGTGGTGGGATCAACAGTCACCTTGTCCCAATTAGAATTTTTAAGCGCCTCCCTAGTCCACAAGCCAGCATCTGGGTCGCCCATATACATGTCCACGACCTTGCCCTTCTCGTTAAGCACGATACGCACTTCGGAGTGTGGGTCGTCGTCCTCGTAGATGATGTTGCATGTCCGACCGTCGACAGGTTTGCCATCCAGATCGACAAAGAGGAGACTATCATAATCAAGGTCGAGATAAGCATCCTGTTTGCCAAGTGATCTGAGGTCAGCGTGGCAGACGCCAGCGGGGTCGCTATGCTCCTCAGGCGATGTATTGTTGGCGACAAGGCCTCTTTGGAATATTGTCGGTTGGGAGTCATAAGGCCGGTGCAAACCGTTCGCTATCGGGGCAGGATCGATGCGCCAGGACTGTCGAGGCCACCCATAGGCATTACCGTACATGCTTATCAATATCGTCTTGTCAGCTATACATTGACTACCTAGTGAACTTGGGGGAGGGACACATACGGATCATCGTCAAGAACGCGGAAGCCATGGTCAACAGGCGTGGAGGTGCTGATAGTTCCAGGCTGCGCGGTGTAAGTGTATGTAGCCCAGCAAAGCTTATGTTCCGCTGACGCCTTTTCTACAGGTGTTCCCCACCATCAGTGGCAGCTTTTCTTGTGAGCAGAGAATGGTTTCCCGACTACACCTGAAACACAGTGTAGACGGTTACTACTAGGCGAGAAAAAATATATATATATAAATAACCTGGGAATCGGTCGAATGCAATTTTACATAATCACCACCTTGATATATGGTATCATTAAGACGTACAGGGTAGAATGATAGACAACAAGGGATGTTGGTTTCTCTAGGTACAAATGTGTGACACTATTCTCAACTCATCCCGAATCAGCTCAGCAGGTTTTAGTCACCGATTCAATTCCTGCCCTTATGATTGATGGTTTCCGAGTACTCAAGCTTTCACAAACTCCAGTTGCTGGTCTACCACATCCCGCACCATCTGCTCCCACGAGTGCCATCGCATCCCTAACTCTGCTTCTGCTTTGCTACTGTCTGTTGAGAGAAACTCTTCCTCAATGTCTGGTGTGATCTTTGCCCCAAGGTCTGGATAGTTCCGCTGAATGACATCCGCCACCTCTTTCCAGGTCCCGCCCTTCGCTGAAAGCAGATACCTCGACCCGTCTGGGATGGCTGGATCCAGAGCCTTGAGGTGTGCTTCAACCACATCATTGATATGCACACCAGGAACCTGGGAGTAAGAGTGATGAGGGATGCCTGCCATGATAGCATACCACAGAAGACCATTTGAGGATTCCTGGATCTCCTCAGCAGTGGTCTGCGCCGGGTTGCGTCCGTACACAAACACAGGATGGAGTGTTACCAAGGCATACTGCGGCTTGGCGGTCTTCTGCAATTCCCATGCTGTTTTATTGGCGAGCAGCTTAGATGCATGGTACAACCGCATAGGTATTCCTCGTGGGTCATTAGAGGCTGTGAAGTCTTCAGTCACATCTACATCGAAGTCCCAGTCGTTGTCCTCTGGGATGATGTCAGTCCAGTTACGATATAGCCGGCCCAGGAACCCTGAAAACTCACCTTTGACGACGCCACCAGACGGTATGCCGTCCAGGGGCATCAAGGCCGCAATCGACGAGGTGATCACGACCTTCTTGATACTTGGCACTCGAGCAGCCTCCTTGAGCAAGGCAGTCGTTGCTTTCACAGCTGGAGTGAAATAGTACTCCTTATCTGTGCCGCTGGGAAGAGGATGTGCGAGATGGATGACATAGTCTGCTCCATCCAACAGTCCTCTGAATTCACCTTCAGCTGTCCAATCGGAAACAGTAACAAATTCCACTTGTTCGCTATACCCCGACAGCAGATCCTGTAATTTGTCGGAGGGCTTTCGAACACAGATTCGCAATCGATATCCCGCTTTGAGTGCTGCTATGGCGGTGGCACTACCAATGAAACCTGTTGCACCGGTGATGAAGACCAATTGACGCGTCATAATGTGTAAAGCAAGAACTCAAGAAATTTGGAAAGTGTAGAATAGTCAAGTGCTTCTTTTATCCTTCTGCATGGATCCGGTCCTAGAATTACCACAGTTTTATCTCTGACTGAGGTCAAGACTTCCCAAGCGGAGCGTGTTGGAGATGACCGATCTATCATCTTAGATCCCCCTTTTAAACCATTTTAGGAAATAGATCCACTCAGATGGTCATATTATCCATTATGCGGAAAGATTTGAGGCTTATGTTGCATGTCGGGGCGCCGGATCCCGCTCCCCTTTGCATCAGACCGCTGCCGCATTCGCCGTCCCCCTGACTTCATTCTGGCGTGCGGTTCAATTGTGCTCTTTTGGTCTACACTGGTAGATTATATGTAGATCTTCTTATGATAAACGATTGAGAAATGCCTTTGATTCGCGGGAACCCATGAGAAGTCTAATCGCCAAAAGCAACCTAGATAGGAGAATCCCTCACCCGCTTCACCATCCTTCCAAAGGAGTGAATTTGGCCAGGACGCCGTCCTTCGGTGCAATAGTCGCTCCCTCTCGCACCTCCAGTGGAGCGTCGGGATATTTCAATTCGAACTCAAAGCTACCGACCACCGCAGCGAGGAGACAGGCAAGTTCCGCCTTAGCGAATACCTGTCCAATGCAACTGCGGGGACCGTGAAGGAAGCTCAGGAAAGCGTAGTTGCTGGCTGCGCCACCGGTGTTGGCCTTACCAGGGCCCATCCATCGATCTGGGTTGAACTGTTCCGCGTCTGCCCCCCAAAGCGCTGGCATATGATTAACAAGTTCCGGCGAAATGACGACCTGCGTACCCTTGGGGATAGGCTTCCCCATCAGGGTGGTATCTTTTAACGCCACACGGACGGTATTTGGCACAGACGGGTGGAAGCGAATGACTTCATTGCAGACGGCATTTAGATACTGGAGGCTGTCAATGGTCGCAGCGTCGATCGGACCGGGGTTCTCGATATTGATAGGTGGCAGGTTGGCGCGGACTTCGTCACGCAGGCGGGCCTGAACATCTCGGTGCTTGCAAAGCGCATATATCGCCCATTGAAGCGCCCCCGCGGTCGTCTCGTGGCCGGCGCCTAGGAAGGTCATCAGCTGGTCGACGAGGTTCTCATCGTCAAAGTTGCCGCTCCGCATTGCGACGGAAATGATGTCGACCTCTTTCGCTGCATTTGGATCTTCCATCTTTACCTTCTGCTCGCGAATCATCCGCCGCGTGGCATCACGGATATTGCGGCAGCCCGTGTCAATGAGCTTGTTCTGCTTGGTGGGTAGCTTTGCTAGCCATGTCGTATTCCCAAGGAGCATTCCGAGTATGAACAGGATCTTTGTTCCCAGACCCGGTGTGGCGAAGATCATTTCGTAAGATTGGCTGAGACTGTTTTCAGGGTCGTGCAAGGAGTTGAAATCCCGGCCCATGCCTGCCAAACCAATGATGTCCAGCGAGGATCGACTGGCCCATGTTCTCACTTGGATTGTGTTATCGTCTGGGGCTTTTCTGCTGTGCAGATCCTTTCGAATCAACTTGGCCATCTCCGTGCCCTTGGACCAGAAGACGGGATAGAGATCCTTGACATGGCGGTACGCAAAAGCTGGCTTGAGATTCTTACGTTGAAACTACACAAATGATTGTGAGATTCAAAACGAGAAACGAATGCACATTGCTGTTTCTTACCTTGTGCTCCTCGCCTTCGGCAATCAGGATGCCATTGCCCAGCACGCGTCTCAATGTTTGCTGTATCACCAAGGGCTTTGCGAAGTCGTAGGCCTTGCTCACCAAGATTTCGCTTAGGACAGCAGGACTGGTTATCGTGAGCCTCTCCATGTTTCCCACAATGTAGTAACGAAGAATTCCATCATTGGGAATAGTCTTGGCCCACTCCTTCATTAGCGCATGGGGAGTGTCGACGAGCAGACTACCCGTATTGCCTGTGAGCCAGTGCCGATTCTAGATGCAGTTAATTCGGAGCCAAGTGTGGCAACGGTGGACTTGATGGCTCACTGGAGGGGCCGGAAAGTGTTTCAACGGCGTGAAGAATTGAGGGTAGATAAATAACTGATAGAGCAGCTTTGATATGGTGATGCCTGTAATCAGAATGACAATGGCCGCGATTCTGGAGCCGTAGATGGCGCATTCTGGCCTGAAGTAGACACCGGCTGCTGCGCCGAGGCAGAGGACACCAAAGTAATTGTTAATGGGTCCCATAATGGTGGTTGAGTCTTAGAGCCAATTCCGCGACAAAGGAAGTGAGGCCGCGTTTTCTGGTGGAGGCCACCCTTACTTCAATGATCTAGAGGATTGAATCGCTGAACGACGGCTTGGGCGTTGGCCTAAGCCTTGTGCTACCTGAGACCAGTCGTATGATTGGTTTTCTTTTTGTGTCACTTCTACCACAACCAAGCCTTGAAACTCCTTATGCCACCGGGGCTCGGGCGCCGTCTCCGCGTTCGACTGCCAGACAGTTACTCGGTATCAGTATATGGCAAATATGGAGCAGACTGCTGGGGCCCACTTTATGCAGATTGTCTATGAGCACATATTTGATTGCGCGCAACTAGTCTTTTGTAATAGACTGCATTGGTTGCCCTTTAAAATTCCTTCGCTGCCAGTTCTTTTCAATGCCTACAAATTCGCTCTAATAATTCGTCATCATATATAGTTTAACCTTTCCCCCAAATCGCACCTGACCGACGGGCTATCAGCACTGGCCCCTTGATTGACGCCCTTCCAAAAGAGGACTGACTCTCCCAAGGTTTCCATGGCCAGAGAATTGAAGTTTTCGTTCCCAGGAGCCGACTTCCCGTAGCTCCTCAATTGCGCCAAAAACTCATCTGAGCCTCGAGACAACTCGCCGCTTGTCGAGGTGATTGGACCCATGGAGGCAAACGAAACATCTGGATCTTGGAAAACGGCACCATCGAAGCGTGAATCATAGGTTTCTTGAACTTCTGAATTCATGTAGCCGTAACCGCTGGTTGGGGGCGAGAGTAGCTCTGACATCAAATAAGGATCTGTTGGTCCTTCCGAGGTCGGCTTCTGCCGTTTGTGCTGAGTCTTCCTGGCCTTTACCACGTCGGTGACAATAAGTGACAGCTGGTATAGCCGTCGATTGTACGAGGCTTCTGCGCGGCAGTCGGTAATGGTCTGGAGCATCTCAACAAATTCTTGAAGCATGTCGATGTCCCGATTGGACCCCCGACCACAGAGTATGGATGACAATACTTCGTAAAGATATAGTGACGGAAGTGAGGCGAGAAAGCTATATCGGAACCAAACGGTCAGTCTCAGCCATTTGTGGTTCAAAATATACAAGGCAGTCAGAGAAGGTGTCATTACAATGAGAAAACAGCCTGGCTCCCTTGGTCGGGTGGGGAATGCCACAGGCGTAACAAGAGTTTCAAACACAGTCTAGCGACCTCGGGAGCCTGTTGAAACATGGGATCCGGATGGTGCTTGTGGGGCCAAATGAGGAGCAGCT